TGTTCAGGGAGGAGATGCGATGGACTTTGGAGGCTGCTCGTTTGCTTTCCGTATATAGCTGTGCGGGGGGGGCGCGTATAAATACTACTCGCGTGCGCCAGACGCCGCCGGTGTCTTCCTTCACGCGGGCGCAAAGTTTGACCCGGCGCTTTCCGGCGCGAGCGATGCGTGTGGATTAGCGAGGCAGCGGGCGGGAGCAAACCCCTCGCTCGCTCGGTGTGGCAGACGCTATCTCAGCAAAACGGGGGCCTTTACTACGAAAAGAAACAAAAGCCGAAGCCGCTCGGCCGCGACCGTGTCCCCCGTGCTGACTTTGTCACGGAGACGCCTTCTCCCCGGGGCGGGCGGGAGGACCGGCCGCAGAGGAGATGCTCCCGGGAAGCTCCCGGCCGCACGGGGACCGGATACGCCACGTCCCGGGGAGCTGGCGCCTCCGCCTCAGTTTCCCCGTCGGCAGCGGCGACGTGCCGAAGCGACGTCGGTCTCGGTCCGTGGCCCAGCAGGGGAGCGTGAAAGCTCCCTTCATTACTAAGCGCGGAGCGCTTTGATATTTTTAGACGCGAGTGCGGCGTATTGCTATAATATTACTGTACCTCGTTTGACTTCTTTCTCGATTGCGAGCCCCCTCTTGATCCCGTTACCTGCAGTAACAGTTATCTGGCTATATTTTATCATCTGAATATTTCAATTAAATTACTTTAAGGGAAAAAAAAGCCAACGCCGAAGTTGGAAATGATCACTGTATCACTCCAACTTCCCTCCATTCCCAGAAGGTTAATTGAAAGGCAGCCATCTTGGTGACGTTTAGACAAATGAGGATAATTATGTGTTCTCCAGCTCTTTGAGAGGTTAATTGCTTAGATGTACGAAGACTGGAAGAACAAAGAAGGAATAAATCAGAAGCGGGACTATGATCTGATAATGTAATTTGGTATATTCACGTACAACTCAAACAAATAAACCCCCTAATTGCACGCAATCGTTCGGCCGCCCCGGGAACTCGCAGGGGCGTCCGGGATCGGGCACCTGGCCCTCGGCGATGCTCAGAGAGGGAGAGGTATTTGGCAGACTCCCGTCCCTCGTCCCGGCGGCAAAACAGCGGGTGGAGAGCAGAGGGGACAGTGGCAAGTAGAGGTTTTCCTGCGGCAGGTTATTTTAGTTTGACTAATCGCTGGTGAAATCGCTGTGAGTTGGCCATTACATCCTCAGGCTGAGGGCTTACTCGGACCATTTCTCCCCTCGCCCTTCCCGCCCTGGCTGCTCGCCAGCACTGCAGCGAGGGGCACGGCGTGGAGCCGGCCGCTCTGGAAGTTGGAGCGTTCAGCGAAGGCTTGGGGCTCTGGGAAGCGCCAAGCTTTGCCGTCGGGATCAAATACCGCTTCATTTTTCAGCCGTGAGGGTCCGGAAAACGGAGGGGTTTTGTCTCGGCTGAGAGCTTGGGGGTCATAGATCTTCATCTGGAATCTCCTTGCCCCTTTCACTCGCTCTCTGGGGAAGCTGGAATGGACATCAAAGGAGGAGATGCCTCCCCTGCCCGAAGGCACGAGTCGCCCCGAGCCTCGGCCTCCGAAGCGCCGGCGAGCGCTTTTTCCGCCGATCCGTCAGGCCTGTCTGAAATTGCAGTTTAATTCTCTGTATTTGCTCTTGTATTGTGCATTAAGATACAGCGAGTTTATCCAGCAGTCCAGCTGTTTTGAAGATAATTACTACAGAACTCAACCTGATGTAAAATAATCCTCCCGGGCAAGCAGCCAAGAGCCTGAGACTTATCCTCCAAAGACTGAAACCTCTCCATTACCCTTAAGAGCTGCAGAGATAGGAGCGGGCGTCTCGTGACAAATATATTTTTGGTGGTAATTAACAGGGGGTCGGGAGAAGAGCTTCGCTTCCCCACCGACTCCCGTCGGGGAGGGCCACACGGCCGGACGGACCGACCGAGGGCGTGAGGAGCACATGCCACGGAGACCCGTCCGGGTTGCTGTCGGAAGGGCCCTACGTGCCGTTTTTTTCTGCCGGGCACCCGTCTCGGGGTCGTTGCCCACACGCCCTTCTGCTGTCCCCCTCGCCGCGTTGCCGCTCTGTCCCGCTCTGCCCCCGGCTGTACGGGAGCTCCCGGCGCAGGCGCGCCCTGGCCGGTGTTGTAATCCGGCTGCCGGCATCCTTTCCTCTTTTGCGACTGCGGGATGCTGCCGGAGCGGTGGCCGCTCTCTCCCTGGTTGAAAGCGGCCCCCTTCGGCCGAATTGTAGCGGGCGGAACCTCGTGTGGCCGCATGGTAATTACCGGTACTGAACTGTGTGGCTAGCTGTGATGGCGCAACGGGTTATTTCTGTCTCTCCCTGTCTGGGAAGGTGATGGAATAAAAAAAAAAAACAACCCAGAAAAAAAGCAATAGCAAGGGCAAACCCACCCTAAACCCCCACAGCAGGCACAGAGGACAGTTTGGGTCTGCTAGCAGCGCCGGCAATGAACTCTGATTGAAGAACACTAGAAATCAGACGGGGCGCAGATGCCGCATTGTGTGAGATTAGCGCTGATTGACTGCGTACATGGGCGCCGACTGAGGCGCGGGGCTCTGCTGACGCCAGCATGCCGAGAGCGGTGGGGGGGGTTTGCCGGGTCGGGTCCCTTCGTCGGCACTTTCGGATGGGGGCCACAGCGGTGGCGGGGGGTTTTTTTTTTCCTTCCCTGCCGGGAGGTAGGCCAGAGCTCCGGCGTAGGGTGGGCGGGAAGAGGGCTTCCTTGGCGAGAAGACGGCGCTCTGCCAATGTTTCCTGGTGCGAGTGGCCACGCTTTGACGGTAACTGCCGGTGGATGTCGGTCGTCCCTCTGGAGAGGAGCCGGAAAGGCGTCCCGGCCTTCTTCAAACCGCAGGATAGCCCCGTGGCCATGAGTGAGTTGGAACTAGGTGCCTGGCTGCATCTGGGACCTGACTTCGGGGAGAGGACTCGATCGCTTAGGAACCGTTTTGGGTCAGGAACAGATGCCTTGCCGTGCTTTTTCCGATGCCCGTGGTTTTTCCTCGACCAACTGCCCTTGCTTGACACCTTCATTTTTGTCTCTCTTTGCGAGCCCGGGGTGTGGCCGCCAGCATCGACTGACTCTGGTGTTCGCACTTAACTGCCCCCCGCTCTATAAACATCCCCATTGATTATCTCTGTCCAAAGGCCTCCTGCTGTGTTTCTTTTGCTGCCGCCTCCTATTTCCTTAGGAAGATTTCTCTGCGGCTAATAGCAGCTGATGGCCGTCGGGTCTCGGGCATCTGCATTTGCTCCCTGTGGAGTATTAATTCAGAAAATCCCATGAACGAATTTGAGGAGAAGATGCGGTCAGGTAGCGGCAGCGGGGGGGCGCCAGGCAGCATCTCGCCTCGCGTCCCTTCTCCGTGCAAACCACGATCCGTTTCCAAGCTGTCCGCATCGGCCGTCGTGCCGTGCCGCCCGCAGCGGTACCTGGGTCCGTGGTTCCCAGACCGGGGCGCATGCGCAAGGCGAGTCCCTTTGAGGTGGCGACCTCGAGCTTTGCTTCCCTGGCTTGTCGCAGAGGCCACCTGAAGCCCCACGAATGCCGGGGGTGAAGCGGCCAGCGGCGTCGCGGGCGGCGTGGCCCCCTCGAGGGCCGCACGGACCGCGTTCGCTCTCGCTTTGTGAGGCCTCGCGCGGACAGCTTCCCCGCCTTCCTCATCATCTTGTTCTCATTCTGATGTCTGGGGGCTGCAGTCATGGACCAAAACTCTGCTAAACTAGCTGAAAAGGAGCTACTTGACCGCCCCTGCCCTCACAGGCTTATTGTCTTTGCAGATGGGTGTTTTATATTTAGCAACCTCTAAGGTATGAAGTTGGGCTTTGGTTTTTCATGGGGATCGGCTTCTATTTTGCCCGTCGGGAGCAGGCAGGGGGAAAACCCGCCCCCGGGGG